AGCAGGGGGCGCCGGCCGCCTCTAGCCCGCGCGCCCGGAGCACCCGCTGGTCCCGCGCGCGTCGCCCGGCGCTGCGCGCTCTGCAGACCCGGGTCCTCTCCCCTGTTTGGTCTCCTCCTCTCACTCTCACCTTCTCCCGTTCTTTGACTGCTGTTCTCTCCTGCCGGACCTTCCTGCATCTCTCCATCTCTCTCCACCTTTCTCTAATTCCCACCTTAGACCTCCCTCTCTGTCCGCCTTTTCTCCTCCTCGCTCCTGCTCGAGCCTTCTCTAACTCTCCTCCAGCAGCAGCCCTCCCTGGGTCTGCAGAGTGACTTGTGCCCCTGTGCCTCAGTGTCCTTCCCGTCTCACTTTCTCCCTCCTCTCCTCCCGGCTCAGCGCCGGGCGGCCTGACCCTGGGGGAAGGAAGAAGGATGGTTCCCGAGGTGAGGGTCATCTCCTCCTTGCTGGGACTCGCGCTGCTCTGGTTCCCTTTGGACTCCCACGCTCGAGCCCGTAAGTAGAGGGGGAGGCTAGGTGGGCAGAGGAGGGATGCGGGAGCCCTGGGATGTGCGAGAAAGTACCAGACCTGGGTCCCCAAGCTATCCTGACGGCCATCCGGGTAGCACCTGTGCCGGGAGGGGTGGAGACTCCTCTGCGGACCAGTGTGAGCTGGTGAATCGAGGGGACCAGAGGAATTTGGCAAGACTCCGAGCTGAGGGGCTGCTGCATGGATCTGAGGACAGGGGGACTGAGGGCGGGGAGGGGGGAAGGAGAGGGCGTGCAGGTCACTGTGCTTTGGGGAGGGCACTTAATATTTCTAGGAGAGAGTCAGGTATGTTTGGCTGCAGGTAAGGGGTGTGACGAAGACGAAAAGGCTATTGCGTTTGGAAAGAGCCCTTGGAAAGAAATAAGAGCTAACTAGATAACCTTCCCGTTCCCTTATCTCTTTTGATCCTCATAACACTCCAATGAGATGAGTATTATCATTTGCATTTTACAGATGAGAAAACTTAGGCCGAGCAAAGAGAAGGAATTTGCTCAAATTTACGGAGCTAGTAAGCCATCCAAAGCCAGAACTTTCTAACTCCAAATCCTACACTTATTTCCCTGCCCTGCAGTGTCTGAAGGAACCCTGGTTTGGAGTTGTGAGACTCTGGGAGGCAGCAGGGCACAGTGAGATAGGCCAGGGTCTTCATCATCCCAGCCCTGTTAAATACCAGCTGGTGGGAGGCAGGCATAGAGGGCACCTCTCTGAGCCTCAGTTTCCTAATCTATAAAATGGGAATAAAAATCCTAAGACTGTTGTGAGGTCAAATTAGAGAACATAGGAAAGCATCTAGCACAGGCTGGTGCATGGTAGCTTCTCAAAAAATGTTAGTTCCCTAGTTCATTCTTTTCCACTTAGACACAGTGTAATCTTGAACAGGTTGTATACTCTCTCTGAACCTGTTTTCTTACTGTTTCCAGAATAGGCTTGTGGACACCCTCTCCCTCCCCTGCCAATCTCTTAGAATGCTGTGAGTATGGGAAATCAAACCAAAGATTCTCTTATTGAGAGAGAAGGAGCATACTTCAAATCCTGAAATACCTGAAAAAGAAACCAAGGCCAAGGAGGGGCAGTGGCTTGCTCCAGGTCATGCAGGGCACAGCCTGGGAATAAGACCTCAGTTTTCCAGCTTCCAGCCTGGTGCTCCTTTGTCTCCACAGCTCAGCTCCCCCATCCATGCCTTTCCTTTGCACGTGACTTTTTGGAGCTGGTGGTGCTGGATTTTGTTTCAGTCTTGCCTCTGCTTGTGAGGGCAGGCTGCGTGTCTGCTGGCAGCCTGAGTCCTTAGGAACAAGTAATGGAAAGACCTCAGTGTTGGGTTCAAGTCCTGACTCTGCCTCTTATAGCCATGTGACTTTTCATGAGTCACAACTTCTCTGAGCCTCAATTTCTCCATCTGCCTAAGAGAGATACTAACCTGGAACCTGAAGAGTTCTTGGGAGGATTAAAGGTGGTGATGTGTTAAAATGCCCAGCACAGTGCAGAGTATCAGCAAATGTCTCCCTTGGCTCCTTGGACCCCCCAGAGTTTCCTTCTAACACCTGCCTGTTTCCTAAAAGAGACTGAGTACAGGATGCCCTCCATGCCTGCCTCCCTTCTATTTAGCACCTCGTTCTTAGCCTGCAAAGTTTTTCTCCAGATATCGTTGCCCTTGATGCAGCTTGGAAAATGTCCAAGAATCAGACCATTGTGCAGGATTGCTCCTATCCTCCCCACACCCCTCTTCTTTGCCTCCCATATCTTGTCAGACCTCACAGCCTTGCTTAACTAACACTTCTTCCAGCAAACTCTTCCTGGTGGCCTGATCCACTCTGATTTCCCCTCCTCCATACCTACACTGGCCTTTGGGTCTATACCTCTCACTAGGTTCTGCCAGTATCTCTCCTACAGGCTTGTAAATATAGAGCTCTTGACATGTGAGAAAAAAGACATGGAGCCAACTCACTGAGTTAAGGTGAGGTGGACTGGCATTCAGGGGGGAGTGTTAAGATTCTAGGATGTCAGAGCTGGAAGAGCCTTCAAAAGTCACCTGCTTCTACTCATCAGTTTATCTATTCTTATAGTTAAACTGAAGGTCAGAAAGGGGGAGTGACTTGCCCAAGGTCACACAGCAAATTTATTAAAGAAAAGAACAGACCTGGATCCTAGTCCCTGATTTGTCACTTACTGGCTGTGTGAAATAGGACAAATCACTACCCTTCTCTGAGCCTCATTTGGTCTAGTGCTGACAATCTATGAATCTAGAAACAACCCTGTAGTCATTTGCCAGGATCCTATTTGAAGGTCTCTTATGAAGGGCCTCATCTTAATTTAAGTGAGATCTCAAGCCTGTTGTGGGTAAGGAATCTCCTGGTGGCATCTTAGGTGCTTCCAGAAGTGATGCCAACTGATGGAAATTCTCAAGTCTGTTTGGTGTCAGAGCCCTGAGGGAGCCAAGCCCTGCAGAATGAATGTCAAGGGCCTGTGAGCACGGGTGGCAGCTTGCTCTTCAGTTAAATTACAAGGCTATTCATGCAAAGGTTATCCTATCTTTGGCTCTATTTCCATCCATAGATTGAGCCCTGATCCCAATCAAGGTTGAATTTAACTGCAGCCACAGACTCAGCTATAACTCTTCGGCCCTGACCACAGATTGAACCCAACTCCACCCCCAGGCTAGAGCCTTTACCCAGGCTGGTCACTGACCTGGTTACTGACCAGTACTGACCTAAGCCCCAGGCTGAGCTACACACGTGTATGATGTTGGCTACTCTGGGCACTCATCCCCTCGGTGGGGTGAGAAGCTGACTAGTTTCTTTCCTCCCTCTGCAGTGCTCTTTTCCCTGTGTCAGCTCCTCTCCTTCGTGCTCTTCCCTGGCTGATCGTCCCTGTTAGATGTCTTCCATGCTTCTGCTTTCTCTTCCCTCCCTCCCTCCAATCTTGCTTTCAGGAGAGTCAGTTGACAAGTAAAAACATCGATCCCTCTATTCTTTTCTGCAAGGGTTCTGTATATATTATGAAAATTGAAGCTTTTGTTCCCAGGTGATGGAATCCCAGATGCCAGAAGCAGGCATGGGGCAGGAAGGGAGCTCCCACGGTGTGATGTGGTACTGAGGGCAAACCTGGCGTGAGAAGGTCAAATCTCTAGCCCTGGCTCTGCCACCAATCCAAACATGACCCAGGGCAATTTGCCTTTCTCTGCCCCTGTTTTCCCACCTATAAAGAATGATCTCTGAGGACCATTCTAGCTTTAACAGCCCACGATTCTAAGTCTATAGGATTCATAGATGTTGTTGCCTTGATTCTGAGTCCACTGCAACCTTTGGAAAAGGGATTTGGGGGAGTGTGTGTACTCCTGCCCTGCCAGGGAGGAGTGGACAGACAGACCCTCAGACACCAGAAAAAAGTGCCTGGAGGGCCTGGGGCAGTGGATGTATTCAGAGACCCACCAGTGGAGATCCTACCCTACTGTTCATCTTAGTTGCACCCCCATCCACCTGTCCAGATGTGCATGAGAGGGTGGGGACCACCTGGGAAAGGACTGAAATCCAGCTCCAGGCAGGCCCGCTCTGGGTCTGACTAGGGTGTTCTGCACCTCCTCTTTCCCACCAGTAGAGGTCTCTGCCTCACTCACTGGCTTGCAGGCTGCTGAGCTGGAGCCTGGCAACAGCTGCACTGTTGCTCCAGCTGTTGCACCTGTTCAAGGACTGGACTCTCAAGTTCCCCCAGCCGCCGGCCATGGCGCCGGGTCTGGGAGAGGGACCTTGAATCCCTTGGACTCCGTAAGAAAAGGACTGGCATGAGAGTGGTGCCCCTCGGAGATGCAGTGCAGAGATCATTTCAGGCAAGGACTGGACTCTCAAGTTCCCCCAGCCGCCGGCCATGGCGCCGGGTCTGGGAGAGGGACCTTGAATCCCTTGGACTCCCAAAGAAAAGGACTGGCATGAGAGTGGTGCCCCTCGGAGATGCAGTGCAGAGATCATTTCAGGCATCCCCCTGCCTCTGGGCAGGAGCCCATCCTAGAGAAGGCTCTTCCACAGCCTTCTTCTCTTACCTATTGTACTCAGGAGTTCTTCCTTAATGTCTCACCTGAGTCCTTTTGTTTGCAAGTTGAAGCCATTTCTTCTAGTCGTGTCCCTTATGGGATGGGTGTCACTATAGGCATCCTCTCCAGCTCTGAAGACTGGCATTGGAGTTTATGCTGGCATGAAACAGTGATATTAGGCAAGTCCTGGGATTCACTTTCCACATTTGTAAAATGAGGGAATTGGATGTCATCTCTGAGTCCCTAACTTTCTAAGATTTTTGAGTGTAAGTGTATATGTCCAAGGCAGAGCAGAATGTAAGCAATTCCATCCCTGCCCGCTGCCCCTTGACAGGTAACAAAACTGCCTTTCCTGGCTTGACAATTCTTTCCTTTGACACCCTTCTGTGCTCCTGTACATCTGTCATGTGCCAGATAAAAGCAGTCAGGTTCAGAGAAGTGTGGTCCCTTTCCCTAGATTGCACAGCTGAGCAACTGAGGAGCTGAGGTTTTTCCTTTGATTCCCTTCAGAGAGGCCTCCTCCGTCGGGTGCCAGAGCCCAGAGCAGAGCTTATGTCTCAGAGGGGAGCAAGTTTGTTTGTGTGAAGAGGGGACTATAAATAAATAGAGAAAGTATGGCTGTGTGGGCGGGAGGAAAGAGATGTAAACGTCCTCACATTCCTGAGCAGCCTGGCTCACTCAGGTTTCCTGAGTTCTTGCTGGCTGGGGACGAGCCAGCCACAATTCCAGACTTCTCTCCTCTCACCTCAGCCCCTCCTAGTGCCATTTTCACAGCCTTATCCAGCCTCCCCTCCAGGCCAGAAGCTTCTTTCTGGTTGTCTTTTCTTCTTCCTATTGCAAGATTTCCCAACCACACTACCTGTCCTAACTCACCCCATACAAGACCTTTATCATAGCATGAGAGTTTCAAGTCAGACTGTGGGATGAACTTGGATGTGGACA